TATATACAGTTTATTGTTACGACCCAACCCTGTCTCTCCGGTAGTCCACCAGCAGATGAAAAACAACCACCTCTCCGCCTCTTCCAAGGAACGAGGGGACCGTGCGGCAGAGTTTCAGTTTTCAGGTTTTCTTTCGACGGTCAAGATGCCCGTTAAAGTTGAAATCTTCCGGACAAAATTAGAAAAGTGCCGGTCAGAGGTCTTCTTTGTTATTNCGGGATTAGACTCTGACGTCGCTGTCAAACCGTTAGTGGCCGACTCCGCCTACTAAGGGCTTCTCGGCAACTCTGCTGAATCCTATGGGTGACGTCACGGACACTACGTCCATTTATATATACAGTTTATTGTTACGACCCAACCCTGTCTCTCCGGTAGTCCACCAGCAGATGAAAAACACACACCTCTCCGCCTCTTCCAAGGGACGAGGGAACCGTGCGGCAGAGTTTCCGTTAAAATTTGTTTTCTTCTGACAGCCCAGCAGCAGGAGCCATGAGCAGGAGAGGTGGGGAGAGGGAGACGTGGGGGGAGGCGTGGCTATTTCATCGTTATCAGAAAATGATCGTATAGATCAGGGGTCCCCAAAGTGGGGTCGCGACCCCCCGGGGGGTCCCGAGATGATTACAAAATAAAAATGGAAAATTAAAAAAATAAAATTATAAAAAGAAATTGATTAATTTTTTAATTTTTAATTATTATTAATAATAACGTTTGCATAGACATTTTCAGGGGCGGACTAGCCATCTGTATAATTTCCCCGCAACGAGGCACCCCCTTTGACAACCCACGAGCGCAGTGTTTCTCAAACTTTTTCATACCAAGGACCACTTAACCAATGAAAAACACTCATGGACCACCTAACTCCACAAATATCCAAAAACAATAGGCCTGCTTACCCATTCCAACAGTATATAACAAATTACAGCCTAATAATGACAGCTTAACCTTCTCTATATCGCCTCGTTCACACAGTAAATCAACAATACAAATACAACTACAGATTGTATAAGCATTTAGTTAAAATGCGATTTAAAATCCTCTCAGGTTTTACACCTCTTATTATGAAATGTAGACTACATTTATTATGTAGTATTATTTTAAACACGAGTTTATGTCCGAGCNACCCCATTTAAAGTGAATGGGAAGAAGCGTTGAAGCTTCAACGCACCCGTGTGGACGGGCCGTTACGCAGAGTCCACAAGGCGGCGTGCGTTGAAGCTTGCTGGTGGGCGTGTCTGAAACTCGACCAACAACCAATCACATGAATCTCCCACCCCGCACACACAAGCACGCAGTTTTATTGGCTAGAGCTTGTACTGGCATATGATTTGATTGTGGACGGGCCGTTACAGTTCCATGTTATGCCGGCTTTTCTTGGCTTGTCTGAAGGTGAGTGGTGATGATCAAATTACTAAACTGCCAGTGCCTCAAGTTTACAGCTAATTAGCCAGAAGACAAAAACAAATATAGTTAACTAAGGTAGGCTACTAGCTAATGGATAAGTTAGCTCAAGATTTAGCTATGGCAATTTATCATGGGCATTCAGGCTAATGTACTGTACTTAAGGGAGACACAGTGGCGTAACTATCGACGGTGCAGCCGGTGCAACGCACCGGGGCCCAGAGCCGGCCAGGGGCCCATGCAAAAAAATCATTTGTAATTTGTCTGTCCAATGACCTTGCTCCCTTTCATGTCATGTGATACCTTGCGTGACGAGCGAACCGTTTAATCAACCTGTACTGTACTGTAGCTAGCAGCAGCAAGTTCGGTAGCATTATAAAAAATGTAATAGCTTGCATTTATAATGTACAGCAAACCAAAGCACAAGAGCGGCGCTCAAAAGAGAAAGGACAAGAGAGAACAAGGAGATGTAACGGCTAAACTGACGAAATTAGAAATGTTTTGTCATACATCGTCCTCAAAATCTCGATTAATTCTGTAAAGTGATTGTGTGATTAGTTTGCTGTGCCGTTGTCAGGCTGTGGTGGTCTGAGGCCAGGGCAGCCTGTTGTTGATAGCCTATATGTGGCGCTTATGAGTGGTTGTGTGTGTCCGTGCGTGTGTGAGCGCATCAGCGTGCGCTTATGTTTGGGGCGAAACAATATTTGCACCGGGGCCAATCACAACCTTGTTACGCCACTGGGGAGACACTAAAGGTGAATACAGTCAAATGTGTATCTTATAACGTCATCACAATCGTCACATTGATATGCAAATTAGGCGTTAACTAGGCCTAATTAAAATGCGCTAATTTGCATGCAGTTACCAAGGCATTGCAGGCGAAAAGGATAAAACAACAAACTAACATAAAAACATATCACCTCGCAACTTCCCCAGATAGTTACTTACGTCAAATTAGTATTTTCCCCTGAAATGTTATGTTTTTGTAGAATTCTGCTGAGTATTAAACAATTGCGTGAGTGTGAGGGTATTAAAATGAATTGGTCAGTAAGTCAGAGATGTGCAACTATATTTAACTTTTTGTTTTAAAAATGTTTTTTATAAATGATTATGGGAAGTGCCCTTTTTCTCACGTGAGCTCCCGCCCCCCAAAATGTCTGTGCACGTCCCTGATCAGCAACCATTATAGAGCAGCTTTTCTCCAACACTGCCAACGCTTGAGAGAACTAGCAGGAAGGCCTAAATGGAAATGAGCTCTCCAGTATTCCCATGGTGTTTGATAAGGGCAGTTTGCCCCTCTTTTAGCTGCTGCTTAGCACACACAGTGAAGTTTGATGATGTTACTTATTTACATGCTAAACACTGACTCTTGGACAACTTTCAGAACAAGTTATTTGCCAATTAGCACATCTAATAATGATTTACAGCAAATGATTTCCCCTAAATATGGAAATATTGTAACTGCCACACCTATGGAAACCATCCAATGATAGAACTTATCCACATATTCCAATATGTTTACAGTGTACAGTATTTATTCTACTGTACAGGATTTAATTGTGCATTTTTCTCATCCCTGCAACTTACTTGCAGCTTTATGTCATTCGCACTATTTATGTCTCTTTTTATGTTGAGTATATGTTGAAAGAGCCTGAGATTGAAGATTGTATTGACAGAAGGATGCTATAGCCCATATGATAAATAAAACCTTTGAATGCTTTTGATAACTTATTGTCCTGTACGTAAGCAGAGGGCGCCCTCTGGTGGCTTAATGTTGTACATGATAGCCAACTAAATGGTAAACACAAACACAACAAGGCTCTGTCTGTGTGTACATGTACACACTCACCAAGTTGTAGTGAAGTCTCAGTGTGGTAATATCCATCTTGTTGCTTCTTTTTCAACATGGAACAAAGATCCACCCGCTCGACTGTCTGGTCCCCGAAAAACCTGCAGCAAGACGAACAAAGTGACAGTGAGAAAGTGAGAGGCAGAAGACTGTTGATGCCTCCAGCAGAAAGCAAAGACCGACGTCAGTCAGTGCAGCTACTTGTCAGCAATGATCACTCAAATCAAAGGAAACAACTAAATGAAGCTTCATGACTTTATACATTTGGATTGTGTTACATTTTCTCCCCTAAAAACCACAAAATTGGAGACAAAACAGCAGACAACATACAGCATAATGTGCTGCAGGTCAATTCAAAAGTTAAAAGAGAATGAAAGGGTCATAAACCATTTTTAAATATCAGGGAGTCAGTAAATGTCCCACTCTATATATTGCAATATACATACGTTATCTATTGTAGTCCAATGCACATGTTTACCTTAACTTTTTAAAAACACAAAAAAAAACTTTATTTGATTGTTTTTGAAATATTTTTATTGCACATACTTACCGTACTTAAAATTGTTCTGTTTTTTATAAATGTTTTGTTCTATTTTTTTTTACTCTCAAATGAAGCAACCCTATTTCACCAGAGAAAAATAAATGATTGTGATTCTGTGTCAAAAAGTTGATTGAAATGAGTTAGAAGTGGATTAATGAAATCGATGCAGAAGTTTTCTCCTGTATATTATATCACTTTATATTATATATTTTATACCTGTCATATTCAATTTTACCTTTGTTTTTATTTGTTTTCTCTTCGTTTTGTAATGAAATATGTTGTATGTATTTATTGTAATTGTATAATGTGTTACTGTTGCACTATGCTTTAATGCTTTTTAAGTTTTTTGTAAAGCATTTTGAATTGCCTTGTGTTGAAATGTGCTATTTGAAAAATGATTAATTAAACCAATGATCTGTTATCATTGGGAATCCAGACTGGAGCAATGGAATAAAAACAGTGCTGGAAATAAAAAACAGTTATCTGAATAAAACAGCACGTACTTGTTTGTATAGTTTGAGTAGAGGGCTGGGTCCACACGTTTCATACCCTGAGAGACAGAAAGAAAAGTTATCACACATTTAGGATATTCTCACACACACAGATATAGACACTCACACACTGACAGGGGAAGACAAGGATGCCGCCCAGCAGACGCCAGTCAGGATATGATGTCAAAGGAAGACAAAGATGGATGCTGTCCTTCCTGTCTCTCCTCCTGACCAGTACTCACCTTTCTGTCCTCTTCCACCTCAGCTTTATTTATATCCTACTCCATTTCCTCAATAGCTCCATCACTTTAAACTGTTCTTTAACTCCTGAGTTTTCTTCCACTAATACAGCCTGATATAATGGTTCATAAACGATTGAATTATTTAGTTGATTTGTATTACAACAGCTAGGAATTCAGTTGCTTGGCTGGACATTTCCCAGCCACTGAGCTACTGTTCTGAATGAGTTGTGAAAAGAGAGCTCGTTACTTTGGACTGCGTATAAAAGCATGATTGGAGTAAATCATTCCATGCGAATATACTATGAGTTATTATCCATTAAAACAAAAACCATGCTGTGACAGTGCAAATTAGTTTGGATATGTCTATACTATTTGTTATGTAAATACAGACATTGTTATGGAAAAAAATATTTAATTTGTGTTATGACATAATCACCAGTTTAGTGATGCTTTTGACATCACAATGTGGAGCTTCCCTTACGGCCCGTCTACACTACAGGCCTGAAAAGATCTTGAAGCTGGGAGTGTCTGAAGCTTGGCGATTTTTTGCGAGCAACCAATCACATGAATCTCCCGCCCCCGACATACAAAGCAATAGCAATGTTAAAACGAAGTAAACTGGATATAAACTCTCCAAACAGGCGAAAAAACTATCAGTTTCACCCACTGTCTCTGCCACCTCCCTCCATGCCTGGTTCCTCCGGTTTGAATCCCGGTAAATAGTTCCGGTCGTAAAGAACCGGGTGATTTGCTACCGTAATATCTCGTTTGGAATATGAGGAAATGAACTGCGGTCTGGCTCTCCCAGCTTGCACGCGGTTTGATTGGCTGCGCTTGCACTGGCGGGATTTGCATAAACGGGATTTGATTGGCTGATGCCAAGCATCGAGCCTCAAAAGTTGAACATTGTTCAACTTTTGATGCCGATAGATGCTCGTGATGCTTGCAAAGCCATGCCATGCTCCCCACAATGCAGTTCGGCGAAGATTAAAAATCTTCTACGTCACCCCATTCAAGTGAATGGGCGAAGCGTTGAAAGCATTTTTTGATGCCTGTAGTGTAGACGTACCGTTACACTAAAAGGTGAGGTCTGAGTACTTTTTTTTTTATTATCTAAATTAGCATATAACTTATTAAAAAATAGTTATGGCCCAGTTTATGAGTCCAAGTGGACAGTTGTACCAAATATGAGACACATGAGAAACTCACTCAATGTATTCCTGAGATATCATGTTCAAGAGAAAGTTGATGGGCATTTAAGTCAGTCCATTATTAGCAGTAAAAGGCATGTTGGACTCATAATCATGTCAATATAGCCTTGTATAGTATGCTAAGATATTGAGCATCTCTCCACAATATATAAATGTGTGTGTACCTGGGATCTTAGTTTCGGTGCTCGGGACAGCTTCATCATGGTGAGGTGGGGTTCAAACCCGCGATTGCCTTCTTGCAGAAGACCCTGCTCTTCAAAACGGCTTTGCAACAACTCTGCAACACATGACACCAAACGTGTTATAAGCAGGAGGAAGAGGAAGGCTTTCACTTGACATAATTCAATATGTAGCAATAAACGGCAGAGACGTAATAGAGGTCATGAGATGGATCGGAGCCCGACCATGAGCAAGATGTACGTCATCCACCTCGATCCCTCTCAAATCCCCTTCATGGATTCTTGTAAAAGCCAGAATTGGAGGGCAAGGAAACAGATGGCAGTCAGAAGATGGGCAAAGAAGCGTTTTACTTTCATATCCTTTGACCAAACAGATACAAAACAAGGACACAAACTAGCAGTAAATAACCTGCAAGGACAGACATACACACTGACTGACACCGACTGATGAGGTTTACAGGGAAACCAGGGGGGTATTTTTAGAAGAGGAGCTCCACAGGGAGAGAAAGGTTAGTATATAATCGATGATGGGGTGGAGGGAGCAGACGGGAGGACAGGAGAGTCTGACTTCCTGCCTTATCCTTATTTAGCTTTTCCAATACAAACATATGGACTCGCTGATGTCATTTTCTGGTGTTGCGGTGTCATTTTTCATGTCAGAAACATAAATAAAAACTAAAAAGGGAGGAATCGGAGGGAAATACTCCTGTGGAAGAAGTCAATGTGTTTCATCAAACAACAGCATGGCTTATTTCTACACTTCTTCATAGCTTAATGAACTGGAAGTCTGGAACTACATTTGATGTCAAACACAAAGAGAATGGTATCATAGTGGAGCACTTGATTCAACAAATTCACCTAAATTGAAATAGTTGTCTTTATTCCACGTTATATAAAAAGCAGGCCTGTGGCTATCAGACTGTTTACCCCTCCCTCCGAGCATCATGCACTAAATATCCCAGCACTTGACTTTGTATCTTTGATTTGACGTTTTACTTGAATTCTTATGTTTGTTTATCTTATCTTTAATTGCTCCTTTTACTTCGTATATTATATAATAAATTCCACATTTTTTTTGTAATCTTTTATTTTGTTCATTCTATCATGGAACAAATGTCATGAAATCCAGTATTTCTGATTCTATAGCTAACACAGTTGTTGAATGAATACACAGGTGTTGGTGCTCCTTTTTAAAGCTCAACTGCTGCCATAATTCATTTGAGGCTGTAAACGCCAGCACCCAAATGTCAACATGAAACGACCAACCGAGCAAAACTCTTCCTATTAATAATCGTCAACACACTTCACATGAGCTGCAGCAGTCGGTCAATCACTCGAGGGTTACGCTTGGTTGAGTTTGATTGGGTTAATTAGGGAGGGTCTGCCTGTATTTATGTCAGCTAAGAGGTTTGATGGAGTAGATCACGAGTTAGACATTTTGACGCTGCATGTTTACCTCCAAGCAAAGAGAAACACACCTACCTTTCCCTAGTCACTTGGCATTAAAAGCTCATCACTACTTCCTGTGTCAAACAGACACAAATGTTTCATAAAATTCCAATCAGGCGACTTTTCAAGATGAATTTAACCCTGATAGCCGGGTTAATTGCGTTCAACCATCTCTCCTATCTCTTTAAAAGATGAATTTACTGCTTTTCCGATTCATATCAAGCCCCGCCATGAAATGCCTTTAGGGATTTGACTCGCTTGATCGTCACTAATATGCCAAATGTAATATTTGCTCTGATCTGAGCAGTTAATATTAAAATAAATGTGTGTGCAAGTGTAGTCGTGTGTGTGTGTGTGTGTGTGTGTGTGTGTGTGTGTGTGTGTGTGTGTGTGTGTGTGTGTGTGTGTGTGTGTGTGTGTGTCGGTGTCGGTGTGTGTCGGTGTCGCATGAGCAATAGAGTGAGAATCCTCTTAGAAATGTTGGCTTAGTGTTGTTGCCAAAGGCACAACAAAAAAACACACATGCAAGTGCTTCCACACACACACACACACCCACACACTGGTACAGATGCAAAATGACAAATTTGAGAAGATAGATGAAGACTTATCACACGCACAGCTGTACACACTTGCGTGAAAACATTATCCAGATACACACACACAGAAAATTACCCAAAAAAACATATTATTTGACCAAATCCACTTACAGTACACCATTTTAAGCGGTGGTGGAATGTTACTTCTGGAGTACTATTTTGACATACTGGTATTTTAAATATTGTACTTTTGACTCTACTACTTTGACAGCTTTAGTTACTTTAACCATAAACATGCTTATATGATATGATGCACTACTATAATACTTATCTACCAAGTATTATATTACGTGTCTATAACTGGCTCCACAATTATGAAATACTCTTGCGTGTAAAAGATTAAATAATATTGTACGATGATCACAATATAACACTTTAATAAGAGTTTGTACCTTTACTTTTGATACTTTAGTAGTACTTTAACATATTATTATTTATACTTTTATTTAAGTAAAGAATCTGCATATCTCTTCCAGGTTTTTTTTCCCAATATGTTCTTGCTGTGTTTTTATTTTAATCCACCTAAACGATATTTTAACACATTAAGAGTAGTGCAGGGCATAAAGGCAGGTCAAAGAATGCTCCTGTGCCTCAGGTCAATCCACAATATATTGAATGCGAGAGTGTGAGGGTTAGCCTTTATAGATTACACCATATGATGTCCTAAAGATGTCTCATCTGTGACCACAGCAGAAAGCATCCGCCCCATTTGAGTGTCATTAGGAAAGACAACAAATCTTGAGAGCTCCTCAGTTGACCGTAAAGAGAAAGTACGGTATCACATTAACATCTTCTAAAGAAATGTATCCATTAATACAGCACAAAGAGACACAACAAAAATGAGATTCAACAGACGGACAGACGCATTAAAAAGAGTCACCAACCTGCCAGACTGTCAAGTGTGTGTCTGTGTTGTCCGGGGGCCAGCCCAACAAACACCACCTCCTTCCTGAAATGACCGATCCCCGAGAAGGGCAGCACCAGATCCCGCCCACCCAGCAGCTCGGCCAATGACGGCTCGGCCTCAGCCAGGACGGTTGCGGCCCTGTAAGAAAATATAAACACATGAATGAACACCGCACACACACAAACACTAACACACACACACAAACGCTGACACACACCGGTTCACAACTTAATCCCCTCTCTGCCTCCCGCTCATATTACATAACGAGAGAATCTAGTGATTACTAATGACACAATCTTCTACGTAAGATTAAGCATCAGTATCATCACACAAGCTGCATTGAGCAGAAAACATGAACATATCAAATGAATGAGAAATCAAGAGTATAAAATGCACTTTTTTGTGTTGAATGTTGGAAATGATTTTACGTATTTCTAAAAGTGTACTTAAAATATAATACAAATTGGTAGTAGTCTTCCTCATTGACAACACTAGATGGTTAGCAATGCCTCCTGTGTTATTGTCGATTTACTATTAAAAAGTGTGACCATTTACGCGACACATTTATGGAATAGGATGAAATGTACATCATTTTGAGGAGGTTTAAGGGAGACATTTTACTCTGGTTATTAACTGGAATAAAAGTCTCAGATTACTTTCTGGCCTCAGGGACCGTCCTCCTTCAGCAGTGCTTTTCTCATTATCGGAATCTAACCCTTAAACATTTAAAGCACGATGCAGCAGTTTCCCTGGAAGTGCTGAGAGGAAGAGATAAAGACAAAAGCAGCGTTACATGCTGGTTATTATTCACTGCAGGACTCTCCATCCGACCACAACAACCACGAGGCCTTGTTTTTCCTCTCTGATGTGGTAACAATGCGCAGCATCACAGACTGAATGATAATATATGGTTGCAAGCATTACACTGATTTGAGTGTCCAATTGAAGAAGTATTCAAAGCTGTATTATTGGTTATATCATGGCAGGGCAATAAGAAAAGGCAGAATCCAGGACAAAAGAGGGATTTTTATTCAACAATCAGTCAATGAAGAAAAATGAAATCTGCGCAGGATGTATGTGCACGTCATAAAGCTGATCAATTCAACTGAGAGCTCTTCATGATCCCTGCTTTCAAAAAAAAATGTTGTGCAAATTACTGAATACATTGTCAGAGGTAATGTGTTGTATCTTACACAACAGTCTAGCGAAGTGTTTCTCAAACTTTTTCATACCAAAGACTACTTAACCAATAAAAAAACACTCACGGACCACCTAACTCCACAAATATCCAAAAACAATAGGCCTGTTTACCATTCCAACAGTATATAACAAATTACAGCCTAATAATGACGGCTTAACCTTCTCTGTATCGCCTCGTTCACACATTAAATCAACAATACAAATACAACTACAGATTATATAAGCATTTCGTTCAAATGCAATTTAAAATGCTCAGGGTTTACACCTCTTATGAAATGTAGACTACATTTATTACAGAGTTTATGTCCGAGCCAACAGACTCACAGACCGTTGGCTACTGCATGAGCAATAGAGTGAGAATCCT